CGCTACGTAGACGATACTTTTACCCTGTTTGAAGGTAATAAAGATGATTTAAATAAAGTTCTTTCAACAATGAATTCTATTGATCCTGCTATTCAGTTCACTTTTGAACTTGAGACTTGCAATTCTCTTCCGTTTCTCGACATTCTGGTCACACGTAACACATCCAACTTCAGTACTACAGTTTACCGTAAACCTTCATCGGTTTGCCTTCCACCACACTTTAAATCATGTCATCCGACTAAACAAAAGTTAGCTTCATTTTATTCCTATGTTTCCGTGCTCTTCAAGTTTGCTCCTCCAAACTAGCCCTTGATGAAGAACTAAATTATTTAAAAGCAATAGCTATTGACAGGGGCTTTTCACCCAACATTATTAATCAAGCAGTTAAAAAATTCTCATCTCAACACACTAAAAGCCACACTCTTATTTTAGGAGATTATAAAAATTCTGTTGTCATTTCCTTCTTTCCATCAATTAGCTATAAAGTTGCACATATTTTGCAGAAATTTAACTTTTGGGTTTATTCTCCCATCAATAAAATTCCAACTTCTATACACAAAGACCCCATTCCGGATATGAATTCCTGGGGTATTTATAGGATTCCTTGCCAGTGTGGTTTAATTTACATTGGCCAAACTAAGAGAGCCTTAAAATTTCGCGTCAAAGAACATGAGGCATATGTTAGAAAAAAGGAACCACAGAAGTCTTCTGTTGCTCAACATTGTTGGTCCGAAAATCACTTTCAATTTTTCTGCTGCCAAAATTATTCAAAAAAAAACATCTTCCATTGGAGAACTGGATTTTCTAGAGGCATTTCACATTCATAAAATCTTTCTGTTCTAGTTAACGATCCTAATTCCAATCCAAATTTGCCTTCCGCTTTTAGAGAAATTATGTTTTAGTTCTGGTTTCGCCAACAGATGGCGCCACTTGCTTATTCTTGTCCAGGCTTTCTTATCTTATCTAATCATTATTTCCTATCTTGTTCATTTGCGGTTTTGCAGCTGAAGATGATGGTTCGGTAAAACCATCGAAACTAGTCCTGTGAAAATTTTGTAGGTATAACGCTGATTTTTGTTGTTTGACTTCTGAATTAGACAATTTCTTGTTCAGTTACAAACTCTAATGTTCAAATTTTACAATTGCTGTGTGGAGAATTCTCAACAAATTGTCAGTTGAAATTTTTTTGTTTTTGGTTACCTGTCACTTTATTCATTATTGGTAGCAGTACTTTATGCATTTGGAACTATATTACAGATTTTGCTGTTCATTAATTGGTTTGATTGGAGCATTGTCATTGTAATGGAAAAACTTATTATACCATCTTCATTTATTACCACTTCTCCACATTTCTTTCGTAAGTGTCATTAATTGAAAAATTTCACGTTTGTTTGCAAAATTGGAAAACCTTCAAATTTGCAGCTATCATCATAAAGCTTAGTTAGTGTCTGTTATACACTATTGGCAGTGTATCCTATTATTGGTGACTAGAGATGTGTTGTTTGCTAAATTTTCTCTTGCTTCTATCACACAGAGGAAGTTAGGCCAAAATTGCATTAGTTGTTTATTATACTTACAGCTCATTCCTGCATATGCAACAGCATATGCTTAAGGCTTATCTGAGTTCCGAATAATTTCCACATATACTTATCTTAACAACAAAGCAGTTATTAATTCAAACAGCACAAAATTAAATCTTTTGGCCTATGAGTGTCATTTACAAAATTTTTCTTGCATACACAATGAAATTTGTTAAATTTGTAGTCAACATGCTCAACATTTCCCTTAAATCTGTAAACATTACCAAGCATAATGTCCACATAAAAGTTACCGTGCTGTTTGATATTATTACCAATATTAAAAAAAATGTTTAGGCATCACTGGGAGAGTTATTTCTTCCAGTAAGTGATGAAAGGAAAAAATAACCTGGGATATAAGTTATTTCATAAGTGTAAAATCAATGATATTTCAGTGGAGATATGTCCCAAGCTTTATGCTGTGTGCCCAGCCGGGATGGAGTTATTCATCACAGATTTATGCTAATAAATTATTTCTTCAATTGGGATTTCATAGCTGAACTAAAACTAAGAATTAGGATTCTCCACGTTTTATTATGGGGAAAAAATTATTAAATGCACATGTATAAAGCATATCAAAAAAATTCTTGAAGGTATTGCTGGTGATCCAGAGGCTCAGATTTTAGACTTTGTACTGTATATATGTATATGTGTAAGTATACAGATCATTAGGTCAAGATTTTAAACCATAAAATCAGAACATTATTTTAAGAAAATTTTTATGAATGGGTATGAGCTATGCTTCTTATAAAAGCTGAGATTAGGCACTTTACATTGGATTGAAATATATAAACTTTTCATGCAAATTGCAATGGCAGATACATTTTACCATTATAATATTTACAATATAAGTCTGAAATTGCAGTGTATCTGTTTACTTTCTTGTAAGTGCTTGCACATATTTCTGCTCCATTTGCTCATTATGTTGTCATGAAAAACTTCAGGTCCTTGCTTTTTTACCATGGATCTTTAATATCAGTCTTTTGACTATTAATATTGTATAGGCGAATATAGGTTTTGAATGTGTAGTGGGCAAATATAATTATTTGTCCATAAACTTGATAATTTATATATGTTATTGTTCAAGTCCAGTCAAATTTATCTTCAATATCTGCATCATTTTATCCTGCTCCTTGAAACACTGATAGGGACATTTTAAAATATGTTTTCTCTGAGTAATGCTGTTACTATCTCAAAGTCCAGGATTATTACAAAAGTAACCTGTTAACTTAAGAAGATTGCCCATTTCTAACGTACAGTATGAATTGTGAAATATTTCCCATTTCATATTGCCAATATTCCCCATATCATATTGCCCATTTCCAACGTGCAGTATAAGAGTTTTGAAAAATCACTTTCAGAATGGATAAAATTGTAAAAGTATTTAATTGTTTAGTAACCATATAATTGAAATTAGACTCTCACTTCCTTTTCTGGACTGTGAGTCTTTCACATGTAAAATATCAAAAATATTCCTTTCTCAATAAAACATGAAGCACTGAATATTTTCTTTGTGACCAGTCTTATTCATACCAGATTTAAAATAAACATTTTACATAATTTACCATTTAGAGCTTATTATCAAAATCATAAATGGTACTTTGTCATCATTTCATGGAGGGAATTCACTAAGAATGAAATATTTATTATTGATAAGAATTTAATTAAAAAAATTGATATTTGTATATAATTTGGACTGGCTGCTTCATATTGCCCATTTCCAATTCATTGTAATCTTCAACATCACTGCAGTTTTTATTATTCTATGGATATATCTTTACTTAAAACTAAAATTGGTTCACTGTTTACTGTATTTTTTCAAAAAGTTATCCTTTTGAAATTGGTCTGCAAATTTATTAGTCCAAAGGGGAAATTTGCCCAGAAGGACTATTAATTTTGTTTTGGCATTTTGCATCAATTAACGATAAGCATTGTTTCACTTTTCGAATTGTTGCAACCAAATATTATTTCCCTGTATTAATTTAAAGAAATTAAATAATTAAGAATCTGCATAAATGTATGTATGTTTCTCGCACTGTGATAAAACGGTACCTAGAGTAATCAAAATTTGAATGTAATGTTCCATTGAATATGGGCATGTCGAAGCCCAGTTCAAATCTGAAACTTGTTTTATTATCAATTTCATATTCTGTAAGACTTTAATGAATTTTTTATTAAGAAGCTCTACGATTTCAAAGTGAGGAATTTTCAACGTGCGAGACTGTATCGGAAATTCTAAAGATATGCTCATTTTAAAATTATTTTGTGACATTGCTGTTGAACTGAATTTTATGGATTAAGTGCAAAAAAAATGATATTAATAAACAAAGGTCCCTTTGGATGTAATTTAATATCTGAAGCCTTTCAGATTTTTTGTCATTTTCATTTTTAACACATGTAAACATTATTTTTATCTTAATGTAAAAAGAAAGGCTATTAAATGACTCATAACTGAGGAAGGCTAAAGTATCAATTGCTTACAAGAGAATTCACATAAATTACTCATTTTCATTGTATCATTTCTGATGTTACATTTTCCCAAAGATACCAACTCGGAAGATCTCTGTTGATAGACTGTTAATATAGGTTCCAGTAATTTCTCAAAACACAACTTAATTTTTCTATTTTTTGATGGATACAAGAGCACCTTCTTAATGTGAATGTCTGAAGTTACTTTCAGTGAAACATGGAAATATTAAATATTAGTTAGCAAGGATTTCATTACGTATATCATTTGATTTTCTTAGTACTTTTATGTACTGATTACAAAGATGAAATCTTGTTTACTGTTATTTTTCCTTTTCTTGGGTGATGAAAAACTTTTATAAATAAATTTGAAATTGGCAAGGAGGTCTGTAAAAGTCTTAAGAATTATCTTGCAATTTCTAGTTAAAATATCCCTCTCCCTGCTCACTGCTGTTTTAAATGCTTTCATTTATAAAGTTAATTGCAAGTAGAAATATTTCAGACGTTTAATTTTTTTTTCTCATTTTGTTTTTCAGTCTCGTACAAATAAGCAAGCTGAGTGGCATGGATCATGTTCTTTGAACTTCCAGTGGAATTCTTCAGATATTTTGGAATCTGATAAGTTGACAGAAGACAATACCAACTTCCAGAACTCTTATCATTGTATTCATATAGCATCAAAACCTAAAACCTTCATTCAAGAAACTCATATACTGTGAATATAACTAGAAAATTTGTCAAAAATTTTGTGTTCAGACTTTAAAAAAGTTGGCTATTAAAAAAAATTCCCAAGGAGGGGATTTTAAAAGAATTTTCAGAGTGAATGGATTAAAAATTCTGCAGCTGCTTGTATTAAAGAAAAAAAAGGGGACGAAGTAAGTTGATGGACAATGACAACTTCTCTTTGGAAGAAAATCTAAAACTGAAATTTTTTATCTTAAATCATTCATAGAACAATTTTTGAGTTTTCACCTTTTACAAGCTTTATTTATTAATATTTAAAAGGTTAAAAACTCAATGCAGGCTATTTTTTCAATTGTAACATTTTTATTGTAAAAATTCAATTCGTAATAAAATTTCATCGTAAATAGTGCATTTTCTTTCTTGAACATGAAACATTAAGATGCAGCATTTTAATACACAGTGAGCGATTTTTCAAATAAGTGACTCAGTTCTTCTTGTGATTGACCACGTGGAGCTAATCTTGTTACCCTTTGCTATGAAGAAAAATTTTAAATTAAAATTTACAATTAGCATTTAAATGAAATGATGAAAGATTTATCAGTTTATCTGTTGCTATAGGTTAAAACATATGAATATTTATGGAATAAGTATAAATGTAAAAACTTAACTATGAAAAATATTCTATAATAAACATTCCTTTTCTGCAATAATCATGAGAAACTAAGATTTTTCAAGAAAAATAAAATGCTTGCTTAGAATTTTGATAACTACATAATAGCTATTTTGATTATTGTATTAATTTATTGTATGATATTGCAAATTAAAAACCACTCTGTCAAAGATACATACCTACCTTGTATACAGCTTGTCCGTGTATTAAAAAAGAAATCTGGTAAAGATTAAATGATAAAGCTAATAAGTGTCAACAAAGTAAGAAAAAGATTGCTTTTTTAAAGAAGGTAATTATTTTCATGGCAAATTTTCCTATTATGCTGAAAAGCAAATAAAATCAGTTTACAGATGCAAAAGTTAATAAAAGTTTATCTCTAAATGGAATAAGTGAATTTTTTCACATGAAATTATTCAGTCTGAAAATCAAATCAATATTGAAGAAATATTCTTTATAATGAAGGAAAAGGCTGTTATAGCAATGTAAAAATTGTCATTCGAAGTAAATTATTATCAGGGGAAGATGAACAGAAAAATATTAATATATTGTTCTGTAATAAGTTAATCTACACGAGCCAATTGCTGAATGTAGTTAAAATATTGAGTATTTTACATTAAAATATAATCAAAAAGGAACACTTTTCTACTCTATTTTTATGATTGTATTTAATGCTTGCATGGCTTCTGTTTTAAAAAAGAAAAGATAAAAATAAATAGCCACACTATTATAGTTGTTTTGATTAAGTGAACATAAACTATACATTGTATTGAGTCTGTTGGTGTCAGCAAAACTTTTACAGCTAAAAAATGATATTCTGGCTTGTAAATTTCCTTTTACTTGCAAAGATACACATATTTAACCTTCTGAGGGAGAACCTTAGATTCTATAATATTCAATTAAAGTCCTTTATATGTGATCTTTGTACCACTTAATGTGTCAGAAAGAAGTAATTAAAGATTTGGGTGATTTAATTCGATGTAAAGTTTCATTTGAAATGGTTTTTCTCAGTGTTGGGGGGAGATGTTGAATATTATATTAATACTTGCTTTTCTTTTTAAATCTATTGTAAAGCTTATCTGTTATGAAGGACTGATAATTTTCCTATCTGTATCTTGTTTACCTGATGCAATTCTGTTCTGATGATGATGCACTTTTACTTTCCTAATAATAGTGACTTGTATTTTGAAATCCCCCTCGAGTTGTTCTGATGAAATTCACTCTAACATGTTACTAAATAGCACAAACATACATTCATCACTTTGAATATTTGAAGTAAATGCATATTTTCCAGCTTATAACAGCATGACCTAGAAACTTGTATTTATGCTTTTTTTAACTATGTGCTCATAACGAGTTATTAGTTTAAATACAGCATAAATGATACTAGTAAATCTGCCTAGGATAATCAGCCACATATAGTCTTCTAGAAATATATCAAGTATATCTTAAGTCAAAATATACTGAAGATGGTAGAGAATTATTTATATTAATTCAAAAATGAAAATTAAATTTTTATTTTATTAAAATAGTTTTTAAATAGCAAATAAAATATTGCTTGTAGATGTTGTATAAAATTTTGAGTGCAGAAATACATAAATTTCTTGACTTCTTTCAATTTTGCAGTTTGATTGCAAATGTGAAGGGAGACCATAAGTGTGATAAATTTTACCAAATGTATTTGCACATTTATCTTATACAATATTACCATTATAACTAACACAATTTGCTTTTATGACAAAATATCTCAAGTATTAACATATATATTGCTGAAATTCCAAAAATATGTTTAACAAACAAATAAATAATAGGGTAAGTAGAGAAGAAAATTCTTTGAAGCATCACATAAAAAAAGCACTTATTCTGATAATATTTTTGAGGTCAGGATTATAAAGATAATTATAGAAATTGTAATGTTTATAATTATAGAAATTTCAATAAAATTTGCTGTGAAGAAAGTTGTGAAATGAACAGTTATAAATACATAAAAACAAAACTGAGTTATGAGAAATTAAACATCATCATAACTCTGAATTTTCTAGGCCCAGTTTTGTTGATATCTGCTATTTTTACCAACAAATGGACTTGTAACTTCTGTTCAGAATACACTGAAAATTTTCACTTCTGTGATGCATGATTTTATAGTTTTGATATAACCTCCACAGTCGTTCAGTTTTTTTTACCATTTTAAGGTAGTATATTGCAGTTAAAGTTAAGCATTCAGAGACTACCCAATTTTCCCATGTTTTAAATGCTTAATGGTGGCTCTTTGCATGTGTTCATTGATAGTTGACAGGAGTATTCTATAATTATAAGGTATGCATATATTTTTATTTAATCTTCATAAGTATGCTTTTTGCCCACCAGTGGTTGAGCGGTAAAATCGCTGAACATTGATAGTTTGATTCAGGGTTTGAATTCTGGTGAACAGGCTGGCTACATGGCTATTTTTGTGGTTTTCACCCTGAATAACATGCATGCAAGCCAGTTTCCATTAGAATGTTCTTCATGAAAGCATCCATCCCATTAGGCAGATAGCCCACAGGTGCTTTGCCATAATCAAGTACATTAAACTGAACTATAATTACATTTTGATTTATATATGTGCATTAAAATTTGTGTATAAATGTAACAACAAAACGGTTGTTAAACCTCATTCACAATAATTTTTTAATGATTTTAGAGGTGAAGCACCAAGACTAAAAGCACATTTTCACCGTTTTGTTGTTACTAATATATTTAACCTAGCTGAATAAAACTCTAAAAAGGGATTCCTAGGTAAAAAAAAAAAAAAAAAAAAAAAATCATTGATAGCATAATGCATATTGCTGTAAATTTAAGTGCATTGTATGTATCCTGTAAGAAACATTTTTTGGGACGCTTTTTCTACATAGATATGATGCCTCTAGGATATACAGAGGTGTTTTTTTTTTTTTTTTTTTTTTGAATGGTGTTCAGCATATATATTTAAATTTCTATATTCACTTACAACAAATATAGAATGTAATTTAGCTATCTGAGGATGTAAACAGTGATGGAATAGAAATAATTATATCTAGTATTTTAATTCCTGACTAAGTAATGTCTTGACAGTGTATTAGTTCATGTTTTACAATCAATGACTTATGATCTGTTTAAAGACATTTTTATCAAAGTTTGTTACACCAAATCTTTGTTTTGTCTTCTAATTCTATACATGATATGATTTATGGTGAAATAGAAAATTAGAAGAAAGATTAAGATTTGGTAACAGGGGCTGCAAATAACAAATTAATGGTAGAACTTCAGAGGAAGACAAAAATAAGTTTTATTTCTACATTAGAAGCTACTTCTGCCAAGTATGTGATTACATACATTTCCAATCAATGATGAAATGATTTTACATCTGGAGTTGTTTCTGCTCTAACAAATGCATCTTTTTTTGAGGTAAGATATTTTTTAAATAGATCTCCAATTTTATTTCATTTAGTCATGAAAGACTGATGTTGATGTTACAACTGATAAATTGCATTTGCAATTTTACAGTTTGCAAGTAGAAAACTTAGGTAAAGTTATAAAACCAGCTAGGATTGACATCTACTGGAGTTAAATTAGAAAAGTGAAAGATGCTGATGGAATTTTAAAAAAATACCAAATTGTCTAGAATAATGTTGGCCATCCAGAAAATTCCCCATCGTAATGCAGAGTGCGAGTGGATTTCAGTGTTGTGAAAACAAGGATTAAATTTAGATCTAATAATAATAATTATGGCATATCAGAAAAAAGATCTAACATTACTTCTGGAAATTTTATTCGCAAAAGCAGGCCTACTTGGCAATTGCTATGAACAAAATTATGAAGTTACTTTCTTAATGAAAACAAAATCTGCAACTGTTTATAGCATTTGTATGAAAACTGGAAATAACTTTTTTTAACATGCAAATATTTTTGTACTGTTTGCATTTAAGGGTTAGTAGCTGAACTTTCAGATATTAATTAATAATTATTTAAAGTTAATTCATTATTAAATATATATTTTCATTATTTAAAGAATTTTTTTTTTTGTTGAGAAATATCTTCTGATTTTTGAGAGCTGTAGGCTGGTAAGAATGTGCTCTTCATTCTGTCCAAACTCTTTTTGATTCATTCCCAGTCTGATCTTTTTCATCAAGGATATTGTTAGTGTGTGATGAGTCATAAAAAAGAACTGATTCAGTCTAGTGAGTGAATGATTCTGATCTAATGTCATAAAAGTACAGTTTTTCCTATCTCTATTAAGCAGACAGCTGTCATGAAACTTTGTCATCAGAAATGAATCATATCTTTGTCACTGCTTTCATAGTTTCTTCTCACACTGTCTTGTAGAACCTCAAATAAATGCTTCTATAACTCACTTTACAATTGCAACTATTACAATATCAACTATTTATATTAGAAATATAGTTTGCTATATCCTTTGGTTAATTAACAATATTTTAATGTAATTGTATTTTTTCGGTTTCGAGGGCCGTAAAAAATCGCCAAACTATTGTTGATGCCGATGCTGCCAAAAATAATTGTGGCAAGAAAGGAAGTATAATAGTAAATAACTATCTAAGATTGATATTTTAATTTAGATGAAAAGTTAATTTCATATAATACTTTATTATTATAATTTATATGAAAAAGGCTAAACATGACTGAATAGAAGCATAAGAGTAAATAACTATTTCAGAACATTATTATATTTTATATAAAAATTGCTAAACATAACTGAATGGATGCCTGCATTGCTATTTCGCTACCGACTTATCGCTAAATCATAATTTCATCTCGGTTGTTCAAATGTAATTTTCTATAATGAATGATGCCTTTCCTTTGAAAATATTCAGAATCGGAATTCAGAAGTGCAGGATCGCTCACTTATTTGTTTGCCGCTTTTTACAAGGGTAAAAACAATTGGATTTTTGTCAATTTTCTTTTACTTTTTAAATGAAAATAGGTTGATGTGTACATAGATAAAGTCAAGGGGGTGTGCAGTGCCACTTTTGTGCAATTCTGGTAATTTTTTTTTAAAGTGAAAATAGGTCGATGTGCACATGGATACCGAGTATGTGCAATTCTTAAAAACGCGTCAAGCAGTGAGTGATTCTGCACTTTACCCAAAATTCTATTGCCAACTTTTCATCATGGGCAATTCCCAAATTGTTAAATCCATAGGATATCAAAAAAGGATTTAAAAATTAAATTAGTATTTCAATGGCATCTTAAGAAATATAGAACTATATAAACTTACGCAATCTGAAACCAGCGCATGCACTAGATTTGGCGTGCTGTTAAATGGGTGTGTTTGCTAGATTTGGTGCTTTTGCACATACATTTTCGCTGCAATTTTTTTACGGCCATCAAAACAGAAGAGTATCATTTTTTCTTTTAAAATTTTTTATACAAATACTGTGGAATACATACATGAAAATTTGCCAAAATCTACATTGCCAATGGGCAAATTAATTTTTTAAAACGTCCCCTATGCTACGTTGTGGATTGAGTATTAAAGGAGCATTATCAGATAACGTGTGAACAGAGATAAATAAGAAATTAAATGCTGTAAATTGTTGACATGCTGGTATGATTTCAAATCAATTTACATTAAACAGTGCTCACCTGAGGTAATGTTCCTTCTACAAGAGATGGAATATCACTAGATGTAAACCCTAATCCACTAAGTCCGTTTTCAATTCCCAAGTCACTCATAAATTCACGAACAACATCAGCCAGTACTTTACCAGCATCTTCCCTTTTAACATTCACTGTATTCTTCCCTAGTAAACATAAGAAGGAAATAATTACAGTACCTGTTTTTTATTACAATCACTTCCATTCCAAAAATATTTGAGTTTCTTAAGTGACCGAGTTTAATAGACAAAAATTTAAATATTGCAAATTACAGCATTAACTTTGAACTTATTTCGTAAGATAGTAATTAAAAATTACTCTAATAATTAATGCTTAAATTATTACTTAAAAATTAATGCTAAAGCTGTTTGCAATTTTTTTAAGAAAAAATTTATAATTACATACCTAACAAAGTTTTAAGCTTTTATAATGAACTGTTCTTTATATGTTTTCTATTGTTCATCAACCAGGCTTTCAATTGTATTTCCAAGTCTGCGAAGCAACTGGTAGCTTTCCTGATCTTCAACTTTCAATTCAAGAGCTCTTCTTAGAGTTTGCAGTGCTTTTCTTTATTCAATTGAGGTTGGCATGTAGTCAATTTCTTCGATATCACTTTCACTGCCAGTTTCAGTTCTTGGAGCTTTTTTAACACTTTCTATAATGTCGCTGTCAGTGTTTCACATGCTATCTCAATACTATCACCAGTAATTCCAAAAATGAATCTTCGTAACTTCTCTCGGTGATGTACGAAATATTAGAAATAACTTGCTATTCCTGTGTGGATTCTTCTAATAAAAACAACATTTTTTAATGCAATTTCTAACGTGTGTTAACTTTCTAACAATGTGTTTTGGAACTGCTATCCATGCATTGAATACAATATGCATAGAAGAAATAGCCTGGGCCCTTTTTACCACTTTTTCACAATCTATGTTAGCCATGGGAGATGCTTCTCTTGGTATGAAGTTCCACTCAGGATAGAGCAACTGCCCAGGTGCCTGCAACCAGTGACACATAGTTAAAGTAAGTCATATTATATGCAGAGCCTTTAGCAAAGATACAGACTTAATTACCTCCTTCAAAGTGCTTGCATTTCACGATTCAATTTTGTTTATCTTTTTTTTTTTTTTTTTTTTTTTTTTTTCAGTGACACTTTTTCTGTAATTATATTTGAAAGCATTTATAATACACCGGTCTTAAAGCTGAATGAAATTTGCAGGAAGAAGCACTAATTTAATATTTTTCAGAACAATATCTGAGGGGTGTACAACACAGTTATCTAACAGTAAAACTATTTTTTCGTTTTTCAGTTGTCTATCCCATTCCTAAAGAAAATCAGTAAAAATACTGGTTATTATCTATGAGTTTTTGTTATTATAAATTCTTAACTCCTTTCAGATATCCAGGCTTTCTACTTTTCCTAATAATATATAAGCCTCTTCTTAATTGTTGCATCCATATTGCATGTTAATAATACAATAATCCATTCTTTCAGTTTCTTAAAACCAGATGTTTATTTCATTTTTAAACATTAATGTGTGTTCAGGTAATGCTCTGTAAAACAGACCAGTTTCATACGTGATACAAATTTTGTGTGATTTGTATTTTTTTAGAAGTTTGGGTAAAACACGTTTTACACAGTTCTCAGCTGAATGTTGATCTGCTCCTTACTTCTTACTATATGGTTTCTGATAAACAATGTTATATATCTCTCTTTCAATTTGTGAGCCATTCATCTGTTGGCACAACATTTTATCCCAACTTTTTAGTGGATTCTACAGCTTTTGTGGTCAATACAGCTCTAGAAATAGGAACATCTTTTAGTCTCACACCTTGAAACCATTCTTGAAAAACGGTTTCTAGAACAGTCTTTCGATTTACCATTCCTTTTGTGTTTCCTTCAGACATTTGCATTTTTTTACTAGTTCTTTATTAATTTTGTTTCTTTATTTAAGTCAATTACACAATGCTGCCAAAGAGAAATTCCATTTTAAATGGAAATTCTCTTTGGCAGCACTCACATATCATTATCTTTCAGAAGTTTATCCTTTTTTTCAGGCTTAAATAATTTTGTGTAGGCATTTTCGACATGTTATGTCATGCACACGTCAAACAAAAAATGTTTCTTCCTGTGATTTTTTCAAATCCGAAATTCTCATTTCTTGCCAGCATTGAAGATTGCATTTTGTTTGTCAAATTGACTTTGTCATGGTTACTATAGGCATAACCAATGCTTTTGTTCTCCTTTCTTCACCCTAAAATGATTATTCTCTTTTCTATTCAAAGACTGATAATGTACAACAATGCAAGGAATAATTTCATATTTTCTGAGAACATCATCCAAACTTAATGTGCATTTGTATTTCCAACTCCCTACCAGCTGATGTTCAAGAAAGGTAACCATTGCTCACTTAAGGACCGCTTTTTCTTTAATCCTGAAAAACACTCACTTATTTACAATCAAAGAACTTGTTTCCATTAGATGACTGCTTTTGTTAATCATGTAAAGGTATTTTGTCACTCTCAGCTCTAGTCTGCAAAGAGCCTTGCAATTCGTGTCTGAAAGGGACAACGGAAGGGTACTCAACAGCCCCAGGGGTCTTAATTCTAACTACAGTGGCTCAAATTTCTACAGAATCTGTTTTATTGAAGTACAACAAAATTAAAGGATAAATGATTGAACAACAGTCAGCTTATTCTGGATCTAAAGAATCAGTCTTTTGCCAATTAGTGTTTTAAAATCAGTGGAAATGAATTTAATAAATGGTGTTTTTCTATTGATCAGTATGTATTTGTTTTGATTCTTGAAGTTTTGAATGTAATAAGTGGCTGAGTTATTAACCAGTGTGAGTTTAATAAGCAATGAATATTGTATTTCATTTCCTTACAGGTTGCTTTGAAAATAATGATTAAAAAGTATTTTTAGTTATAATTTTAAATCCTGACATTAAGACACTGACACTGACACTAAGAAAAATAGTAAAAGCAAGCAGATTTTTTTCATGTATATTGAATTTTATAAAAAAAAATAAATAGAAATAATAGAACAGAGAATTCATATTAGAGCAACATGATGAAAAATACAATCTAGGAAAGAATTACATGAAATATGAATTTAAAAATTTTCTCTCTATATATGTAACAAGATGGCTAGGAATAAGCTCCTATGACTGATGATGATTCTTTGCATTATATTCTGAGGAGACTTTACTGCGTAGTTAGAAGGATGACACTCGAAGGACAGACTTCTAGACAGACATGGCCAAATTGAATATAACTTTTATTGGTGGATACAAACTAATTATCAAACACATATTTTCCATTACACATGATCATGGGCGCAGTACACACCCCACAGTTTTGTATATTCTGGGGAGACTTTACTGCATAGTTAGAAGGATGACTCTCGAAGGACAGACTTCTAGACAGACATGACCAAATTGAATATAACTTTTATTGGTGCATATGAACTAATTATCAAAAACATATTTTTCATTACACATGATCATGGGTGCAATACACACCCCACAGTTTTGCATACAATATCACATTTTAAATAATGGCGCAGTTAGCAGCCCAACAAAGCAAATGGAGTGAAATAGCATCTCGACTGCAGGAGAGCTGAAGCTAAAAAGTGTGCAATATGGAGGCTCACTAAGAGCAGGTTTTGATTTAAATTAGAAAGTTTTCAGTTCTCGAAATTTTGAGTTCAAGTTCTGAATCAGCTACGTCATCAGCATTATGCAAGCCATAGAAGATGTATTGATTTAAAAACCACATCTGAAGCACTGCATAAGAGAAAAGTTGTGAAGTGGATTTCTCATTCGGAAAGTGCTTTGTTCAGAATATAATGTTATGCCTCAAATAAGAAGAGGAAATGCTAACCAGCAAGTTTCTAAATTCAATAGAGGTAGGATCGTTACCTATCGAAAGTGTAGATTATGGTACCATGATATTTTCATCGAACTACATTTCATGTAGATTATCATACCATGATATCGCCGGTCGCACTGATTAGTATCCAATTACTGTCATGCGAATATGGAATCAATGGATTGCTGAGGGTCATATTGAAAGGAATACAGGATCTCAATGCCCTCCTATGACTAATGCCAGAGACGACAGGCATATTGTGAGGTCAGCACTGTAAAACTGTTTGACCATATCACAGACCATTAGCCAGGAAATTGAAATGGGCATGTTTGCAGACATTATATATCTACTCTGAATGCAGCAGGTAACTTATAACTTGGCTATTAATTTTTAAGTGTACATTAAAACAGAAATTTAAAAATAAACTTCTACAGGTCTATGATAATATTTTAATTAAAGTGAACAGATTCTAATACATACTGATATTTTCATGTTTGTATCATTAATAGGTAATGTTTAACTTGCCTTTACTTATGAATTTACTAATCTAATTAGAATATGAATACCCACCTAACACTTCAGCTGCTGTTAAATGACGTTCAGGACAAGCAGGTGCAGTGAAACGAAAGACAGCTGGTGCAGTGATGACAACAGAAAGGCCATGGGGCTATTGAAGAGAAATTTAAATAAATTAATGATGATATATAATTTCATAATTGCTACTAAAATGAAGTATATAATTTTACAATTTAACTTTTAAATTAAACAATTGAAAGATAACTAATGTAAAATCACCTCTTCTTCAAAAGTTTAATTATAATTTCTGTACAATTAAATAAAATTTGGTATTTATTTAATTTTAAACTGTAGTTGCAACAACAAAAAATATTTAAAATAGTTAAAAAAATAAAAATAAGGAAATTAAAAAGAAAATATCAAAAATTTAATTCCAAATTGTAAAGGAATTAAAATATAAATATTTGATAATAAAAGTGCATATAAATATGCCGTTTATTCATAACTTAATCCATAATTTTCCACTTCAGTCAATAGAAGTGAAAACATATATAAATTCAAACTATGATAAGACTTAAATTAGGTAAATTCAAACAATAAATTATACAATTATTAATCATTAAAATGACATAAATCTCATTTAGAACAACATTCATCAACAAAGAAATTGCAAAAATTAAATTACAGTTTAAAAGAACTTTAAAAAGTTAAATATTCACCAATACTCAAGATTTTTCACATTCAACTAAAAAAATATATTTTTTAAAACAAGAAACTATTTATGAATATTTTTTTTAAAGCAACGTTTTATTCCCCTCTTTAAAATGTGATACAGAATTTATGTAGAAGCATGAAAATTGAATTTAAAATACATACAGTTATATGATAATTGACATGCTATATAATTTATAAAATTTTGATGAAAATGAATAAAAATATTCAGTTGTGCAAAACAAATACCATATTAACTCAAAAATAGAGAGAGACATTTTAAAGTAAGTTAAAAAAGTAAATATCTAGGTTAATATTTGATGACAGCACATATTGCAAGAAAAATTAGGGAAACTTGATGATACGTTATTTGTTTATTTGTTCTGAAGCATACCTGTAACCAGCATAGGGGATGCAGGCCTAAACTAAATTACTCAACTAGATATAAAAACTATAATAAAGACAAACCATTATAATTAACAGCAGGTGGTAATTACTTGCATAGTACCATATATTTCTGAATATAAACCAATCTGTGCATAAGCTGAAAATGGAATTTTTCTTAAAAAATTTTATCCAAAATTCAAAACCGAAATTGGGGAGGGGGGAGCGGAATTCTGTAACATTCAAACATGTCGCGATGAGGGCAAAAATGTTGTTAAGCATATAAAGGGGGTGGAATATTATCCATTCAAAGCACTCTAAAGTAAAACGCCAAATGCCAATGACGATAGTTTTAACTTTGGTAACTTTATCTAAAGCTAGGAAGCACATCCTCTCATTCATTTGCCTGTATTGTATATAATGTGTGGTATTTGTGCCAGTCTTATTTTCTGCATCTTTTTTTTTTTTTTTTTTTTTTTTTTCCTTCCTGGATTTGAAGGATGAGTGGGAAGAGAAATTCTTACACGGGAAATTTCAAATTACAGATGATCATGTTTGCTGAAAATTCTAACAAGAGTATGGTTGCATGGCATTTCTCCTAATTAAAAAAACAAGTTTAAAAGTGAAGAAAATCAATTTCTTGAATTAGTAGACATACCAAAATCTAAAGGTAGCACGTGGTTGTTTTCCATTTGACAAGTGCAAATTTCACCATCATATTTTCTGTTTTGACAATAATGCAACAATTCAATTGAAAATAAAGTAACTCATTTTCACAAAATGAATAATATTTACTTAAATTTTTTCCCCACAAACTTAAGAAATATAAACTAAAGCAGTAAAAAAGTGCTTATTTGGTAATTTTTTGCTAGCACCCAGCTAATGGAAAAGTACCTTTTTTTTTTTTTTTTTTTTGTGAGATAAGCGGATTTGCACATAAGCAGACCCCTGTAATTTATGCCTACAAAATGTTCCAAAATTCTTGCCTTATACACAGAAATCTATGGTATATTTAGCATTTGAGCAAAACAATTATTCTATATAATAATATGATAATTAAACTCCTTCTTCTTAATCTGAATCTTATATTTGAGCAAATATGGTATTTCTGAAGAGTATCTAAGATCAATGTAACACAAATGCTATATAAAATTTAAAAGAAAATTTCTTGAGAAAATGATTTTTAAACCACTTTTGAATGTTGGCAAAAGATACAAAGATAACTGCTGCTGTATTGAAACCTTCAAAATATACAAGTACATAACAAAGATAAGCTAAAAATGGTAATCAATCTAAAATTTATTAAAGTTGTTTTAGAAAGGGAAGGAAAAGGAAACACTATGTGTTTTGGAAAAGACAATGAAGTTCAAAGAGCATAATAATTTTTGCTAATTGGAGAAGGGAGACTATGGAATTATTTTCTTCAAAATACTTTAAGTTTTTGGTACTTTCTAATCATCTGCACCTCCATCAAAATGTTGCAAAAAAAATGATTGCAATATGACAGTTTTTGATGTTGCTGAAAAGATTTATGTGGTAACCCAAGTATGTGAGTAACACAAGTGCAAAATGTTCATTTGTCCAATTATTTAATGTTTTTTTAAGCAAAAACAGACAGCTGTGTACATGGGGAGAACAACAGAACAAAAAAAAAGATTTTTTTTTTTTTTTTAAAAAGGTAAAGTGTTTTATTACCAATGTTTTTTTCTTTTCCAATTTTGATTGATTGCTCTTGTATGGAATTTTTAATCTGCAACCATTTTAAAAAATGGACGTTGCCTCTTATGCATTAGCTTTTTTTTTTTTTTTTTTAATTATTTAAAGAAAAAGAAATCCTTGTGCACCACAAAGTATAACAAGAGACTTACAAATCGTAAGAAAAAAAGGCAAAATTGTAAGTTATAACATCAATTTTGAATAATACAATAAAATCATACACAAAGGAGGGGGAAAAAGTAAACATAAAAGTATAAAAATGTATAAAGAAATCATTTATGATGTTTAAAATAAAAGTCAACAAAATCGTTGAAAGCTCGGTAGGCCGAAGCTGAAGATACAAAATCATAACATTTCGGTGACCAATGAATTCCAATTAATTTTAATCTGCATTTCAATATATTTCTTGCTTTATCAAGCAATGGGCAGTCCAAAAGCAGGTAGAAAACACTTTGGTGAATGCTAAGATTGCAATAACACAAATTGGAAGACATCAGCTTAAACTACGAAATGTCAAGGCGCGGTAATTAATATTAAGCAGTTTTAAGGTTGCCATAAAATGGCAAAGGAGGCCAGGGTTGCCACATTTGGTGAGAAATCACCCATTTGGTGACATACCATGGACGGTTGGAGAACCTTCTGGAACGAATTCTTACTGGTTTAGCCCAGAATGTTCCCAAACACAAGCCGAAAGCTATATAAACCCTGCTGGTCTGCAGTCAGTCAGTGTGTGTGCCTCGTCTAGTAAGCTGATAGTCAGTAATTGAGCGAGTGTCTTCAAGTCTAGCGCTGAGGTGGTTGTTGAGTGCATCGAGAGAGAGAGTCAATTAGTGCATCGTCGAGTTTTGTTTTAGACTGTGCTGAGTCGAGAGCTATACTCTTGTGTATCGTTGAGTGCATCATGTGGAGAGTCTCGAGAGTACATGGAGTTCCGAGAACAACCAAGCAGAGTTGGGAGCTGTACTCGGGTGCTTTGCAGTGAAGCTGTCTCCACCATTATTGCCTGACAGTGCTGTGCCGCTGATTGTTCCAGCATGTTTATAGTAGATCTTCGACGACTGTAAAAAGAGTTATTGGAGCTGTCCTGATTCATATTGGCTAAATAAAGTATGTTTCGATACTTCATCAAGTATCGTCATTATTCACTCCAAATCTACGAACCCCGTACGAACGTAAAGGAGGAAAATAACGTAACAACTGGTGTCAGAAAAAGTAAGAAAGAGCGCAACAACTGGTGTCAGAAGTGGGATACTCGAGCACGGGCTGGATGTTAATGCCACCTTCAACTGATTAAAGGACTTCTCGCACTCCTCAGTCCACACGAATTTTTGTTTACTCTCTGTTAATTTATGCAGAGGCCTTACAATGTTGGAGAACCTCTTCACGAATTTTCTGTAATAAGTACAGAGTCCCAGGAAGCTCTGTAGTTTATGAATATCCACAGGATGTTCCCAGTCCTTAACTGCCGACAACTTTTCTGGATCTGTGTGGACACCTTCGGCAGAGATGACGTGCCCGAGATAGGTAACTTCACTGTGGAACAACTTGCATTTCGAAGGACTCAGTTTAAGGTTGGCATCTCTCAATTACTGGAACACCTTCCTGATATTTTCTAGATGTTCCTCGAAAGTACGGCCCACTATAATGATGTCGTCTAGGTACACCAGACAGGATTCGTAAGATAGACCACAAAGCACTGTCTCCATCAGGCGTTTAAATGTTGCAGGGGCGTTACAGAATCCAAAAGGCATAACTTTAAACTGCCAGAGTCCTTGACCGGTAGTGAATGCAGTTTTCGCTCTATCATCAGGATGAATTTCCACTTGCCAGTATCCACTCTTGAGGTCCAGGGTGGAAAACCACTTGTGTCCTTATAGGATGTCTAGAGTATCGTCAATCCTGGTAAGAGGGTAACTATCTTTCTTAGTGACATTATTTAGTTCTCCGGTAGTCGACATTTCGGAAGTGGAGTGAATCCCAGAGAGCCCAGAATCTTTTAGTTGCAGGACTGAAAATGGAAATGTCTTGCACTCGGGTTTTGTACTGGATGATTCCTTCAGTTCTATTATTGGCCTAATGTCAGGATCCGCTAATTTGTCTTGTCTAACTTTTTCATCACTCCACGGATCTGGATCAGTTGAAGGCGGCATTAACATCTACACTCATGCTTGCGTATCCCACTTCTGACACCAGTTGTTGCGTTATTTTCTTCCTTCATGTTCGTACAGGTTTCGTAGATTTGGAGTGAATAACGACGACACTTCATGAAGTATCGAAACACACTTTATTTAGACAATATTGTCAGGACAGCTCCAAAACACATTTTACAGACGTCGATAC